TGGCCCTGCTGGCTTTGGCCACGCGACTGTCTACAATGAGACCCTCGGCGCAGTGGACCAGCATCAACGGTGCCATCAGCCTGTCCGCCAACGGAAACCCTAGCACCGACGTGTACGGTCGCCTGTGGAACGAAGGTCTTTCGTTCTACGGCTGGATCTTCTATCTGAGCAAGTTCTATGAGGTGCTCGATACTTTTATCATCCTCGCCAAGGGCAAACTGTCTTCAACTCTCCAGACCTACCACCACGCCGGCGCCATGATGTGCATGTGGGCTGGCATGCGTTACATGTCCGCTCCCATCTGGATGTTTGTCCTCGTCAACTCCTTCATTCACGCTCTGATGGTAAACCCTCCTCTTTCTCTTGATTTCGGCGTCACCCGCTAACGTGCATACTTAGTACACATACTACACTATCACCGCCTTCAACATTCGCGTGCCGACACCCATTAAGCGCTCTCTGACCACGATGCAAATCACCCAGTTCCTCGTGGGCGCTTCGTATGCCATGCTCCACTCATTCGTCTCGTACACCGTCCCGGTGACCGTCTACACCGAGAAGTCCGCCTCTGCCGCCGCCGCCGCCTCCGCCAGCTCCTCGTCTTCTCTTCCCACCGCCGAGGCTATCGTGAAGGCATCTGTCGGTGCGATCGAGTCTATCAAGAACATGATCTACGGAGCGGCCAGTGAGTCTGCTGTTGCCGCCGCCGCCTCGGATGCCACTGGCGCCGCTGCGGCCGCTGCCGCTGCTGCCGTGCCCGCCGGTCTTCAGGCTGAGACCGTCTGGGTCACACAGCCTTGCATTACCACCAGCGGTGAGACTTTCGGCATCTGGCTCAACGTTCTGTATCTCGCGCCGTTGACCTACCTCTTCGGCATGTTCTTCGTCCGCAGCTACCTCCGCCGCTCCAGCGCCCAGGACCTCAAGCCCAAGGGCAAGTCGCGCCGCGAGAGCAATGTCACCCTCGCCGAGAAGGCCGGCTGGGATGCTGCTAAGGAGGTCAGCAGCGAGATTTACAACCAGGGCGCCGAGGAGGCTGTTGTCACTGGTCCCAAGACGAGGAAGGGCCGCAAGAACTAGACCCTTTTAACAGTATTGTTCATAGTTTTATCGAGCCAGACACGCACGCAGTGGCGAGGCTCCGAGTGTGTACTTTCCTATGAGATCTGTGTTTTACACGGCGTTATGAGGCTGGGGTTTACCAAAAAACAAGTGTGACGGCGGCAGGTGTTGGCAGCCTTATCTTGGGGACAGCGGTGAACATCTGCATTGTTGGCTGTTTCATTTCATTTCGCTTGTGCATTGCTGTACATAGGCTTTCTCCTGGATCATCAGCCCCAAATAGTTATAAATTCACACGTTTCTTTCTCGTTTTATCCCTCCAGACACTCCATGCCAGATACCTGTGTTGCGAAACAGATGTCGAGGTTTGCTGTGAGGGTACCGTCCCGATGAGGTTTGCGTCAAGGGGTCACGCCTCTACGACCTGCCGACTTTGAGCCGCAGGGCGACCTGTGGGCACGCTTGCTCTCCGCGAAAACCACAAAACGAAAGGCGCGTTATCCGCAAATGCGCCGTCCGCCGGTATATGCCTTCCTTCCTCGTCAGCGACGTCGTACTGACAGGATGCAGTGCGTCTCGGCTTATCATGTCGCCTCGGCCTCGGCGCACCTCCGCGAAGGGCGGAGGTGCGAAAGGAGGGGACGCGACCGGGAGGGGGGTGAGGAGCGTCGCGCGCTTAAACGCGGGGGGGTGACGCACAGGTGAGGGGTCGTGAAGCCCATGGTTGTGTTCTTCTTGCAGTATGCAAAACACCCCGCCTCTCCCTTGCCCCCCTCCCAGCGCCTAGCCTCACGCGATCAGCAAGTCAAGAAGGGGCTTTCGCGGCTCTTCAAATGGATGCGAATCTATTCCAAGGAGATGATCTTATCAGCGAACTGCTATTTGTCGTACATATTTGGCAGAAGAAGATCTTTGTTCGGGAACGGCAAGGGTGCCGCAAACGGGAGACGGCCCACTGATAGGAAGGTGATGGAGGAATGTGGTAAACCATGTTTGGTGGAGCTCCCTATATCCCGAGCACACTACCATACAAAGGCCTCTGAAGTCATACCAGGACGTCATGTTACTTCACTGCATATTACAAGTCAATGAGGATACTTATGTGAGTTGCGAACCTGATGCTTGATTGGTGGGAGGGATTCCGTCCTCAAAATATATGGGACTGCTAGAAGCAACTGAAGACAGGCTCGCGACCCCGTCTGCAAGAAGCACAGAGGCGTCCTAGGCCAGTGTATCTTCCTCCATTCTCCTGTGTGATTTCTCAACATTCGCCGTAGCGAGTTATGACGTCTTCTCGATCTGTCGAGTGCGTCTCAAAAAAAAACAAAGCTAACCTCCAAACGCCGCGCTCAAAAACAAAAAGAGCATATCCCAAAACAGGATGCTCACAAACCCCGCTGTCTATGTTGCTCTTGTCGTGTTGTAGTGATGGGTGGAGGTGGAGGAGGGGCGCGATTAAGGCTGAGGGTGTGTCGACGGCGGGTATTGGGGTATGTCTATGTCTATGTTGTGTAATTGGTCGTCGCTTCGAAATAGCGCCGACAACGTATATGGCGAAGAAACCTAGAAGGTGCTCCAGTTCCAATCTCTAGGCACACTGGCGGCAACCTCCGGGCCTCTGGCATAACCCATAGTGACGCTACCACTGGGGCTGCTGGTGGGAACAGGACTCGCGCTTCCCGTAGGGATGGCGGCACCAGGCATGGGGCCGGCGGCAGTGTCGACTGAAGAGCCCTGATCGCTGCTGGCCTGGCTGTTGTTTCGGCTCTTCCACGCGATGAACTGAGTGAAACAGTGCCCGCAGGAGCGCGAGGGGGAACCCCGAGGGTTGTAGTTGAGGTCCTGGTCGAGAGGGATGGTCTGCGCAGAATGGCTGTCACAGAAGATGTTGCCACACTTGCGGCAGTGATGACGGCGGTTGAAGTAGTTGAATGTACGCTGACAAGTAGGGTCATCGCACATTGAGGCGTGAGGATCGGGCTGCACTCATGTTGTTAGTAAACTTGCTTGTGCAGAAAAACCAAATCGGCAAAAAGATTGGCTGTTGCTTACCTTCCAGTGCTTGCGCGTAGGTTCGCCGCTGACCTCGGGGAACAGCTCCGGATCCAAATCGCAGTCCATCGCCTTTCCGCTGTCCCCCGTGGAGCGCCGGCTCAGTCGCGAACCGATCATGCTCAGGCCCGGAAGACTGATGAAGCTGCTGTTGACGCGCTGCAGATTCAGGTCGGCGGGACTCTCAGGTCCGTCTTCGTTCTTGGGAGAGCGAGGCAACTTTGAGGAGAATTCAGTGGGGCGCAGGACGGCAGGCATGAAGAGTGGTCGCGCCTGGCGAGCAGCAGCAAGAGACCGAGTGCCGGGTGACGTTGGTGAGGTTGCGCCTGGGGTGTGTAATGGGGATGTGTGGTGAGAAGTGGTGGTGATGGGTGTGCTGTTGGTATTGTTGTTGTTGGGGAGCTGATAGGATTGCGAGCGCGTGTGGAGAAGTGCGGACGCTGAGG